GTTATTACAAGTTTCATCTACAACAAATGACTTTGAAATGAAGTGGGCACGGCTACAAATACAACAAACTCTTCAACAGCGGTGCTAAGGAATTTGCATAGATTTTGGTTAATTTTGAGTACCCATGTACAATTTCATGAATGAAATCATCTGAGACGCAGACTGACATTCAAAGATGATTTGACACATAAACAATGAGAATCTTTCCACACAGTTGAAAAGCAGTAGAATTGCTTGCAGTCATTGGTGCGCATTCTACTATGTTACAGAGATATGTTAGTAGTAGTTTTGCTTAGTCTTTGACAGTGACAGTATATGCTATAGTAACAATGGAAAAGAATTAGTGATAATTATCAGTATTAGAATTAATTGACTAGGCAAGGCAGCGACAGTACAATGATGACAGGTGAATTGATTCCTGCAATTAGTTAAGTATTGCATCAGTATACACACTTATCCATTAGACTGTTCTACCGTTGATGGTGACTGGGACTGCGGGAACGGTGTCTGCTGCTTCTGTGATGATATGGCGATCTGGAGCGGTGGCGGTAATAATCATGTCTTCTGTCTTGTGAACTTGACCATGAGAATGGAAGTAAGATTGGAGAATAAACAACAAACGGACAAGAAACACAGATAGTACAACAAAATAGATCAATAAATACATGATACTAATAATACCAATAAATAACATCTACTACTATACATGTATAACTGATTTGTCTCAGCCCCTCTTACAAGTATACCGATAAATTTAATTTGCACCTTAATTTTGAACATTTTGATGATTTTGCTCATTTTTCCTGTAATATCGCAAGAACTGTATTCCCTGTGTTTGAATGCATGATATTTTTCCATTTTCAGAAGATTTAAGTGCGTTTGTCTCACACTGAAGGTTGTATTCAGAGAAAAAAACTTGGCTATTGCACTTCAAACAGAGGAAATACTGTTAATTTAGAGACTATCAGAGGGGTGAGCAAACTGTACACCTGAAAAAGAAAATGTAATATATATAATATTGGTCAACAGACATAATAATAAAACAAAGATTCCTTTTCAGTATTCCAGGCAGCATGTTCACGAAAATGAATCAATTATTAAGTTTACTGACTATATACAATGTATGAGATAAAATGTCATGTGTTCACAGAAAAAAATTTAAATGAAATATCAAAAAAAAGACAACAGTGAGGGTTCTCGCTCACAACTTGTCAAAAATTACCTTGTTATTCGCCTGGGTTCCAGATGACTTGGTGAATCTCGCCTTTTCCTTGGTGGTGACCAACTTTTCTCATCTTTTGGTGAAGTGGAGCTCTTTCTTGTCTTTTCGTGCACCCTAGATGGGCTGTAATTTGAGTAACTGGGACTTCGTCGATATCCACTATTTTGGGAGCGTGAACGGCGATGTGGTGAATAACTTGATGAATGGCGTCTCTTTGAGGAGTGACTTCGTGATCTAGAACGTCTACGTGAATAACTGCGGGATCGTGATCGTCGTTTTGGACTGTGTGACCTATGTATAAGAAGTAGATTATTTCATGCTGAATGACACTCAACTCTGCTGTATTCACAACCTAAGCTTAATACTACAGAATCCTCACTAAAAGTCACAACTTTGCAGCATACCAACCAAACAAGTCTTAGTGCATGCCTCTACTTAGTTTTCCAATTTGCGCATTTTCTTGGCTTGCTTAACACTGCATATTTCTATTTATTATGTCCAACTGTGAGTACTCCTAAATACTCTACTAACTTTCCACAACCTTACTTGTGTACCTAACTATGTTGCACTTAGTATGCTTAGCTCTCACATTCCTGCCTTTCTAACTCTGCGCATTATTTTACTTGCCTAACTTTGTGCATTCTTACATAGTACGCCTAACTCTACAGACTCCTACCTATTTTGCGTAAATTAAGCAATTCTATAGAAATACTGTACCTCCTTCTCGGTGAGCGACTTCTGTCAGGAGATGACGATCGGCTGTAGCGTCGTCGTCTTGGTGAGGAGGACACTCTTGATTTCCTAGTCGACGATCTGGACTTTTTCTCCGGACTGCTACTCTTATGGTGCCTAAAAACAAAATAGTTTTATAATGTAGCGAGATCATTTGTTTATTGAATAGGTACATGTAAATCATTTTATTTATTCTCTCAGTTTCTCACTAACCTTTTTGGTGATCCATTACGTGATCGTCTGACTTCTGGTGATCGGCTTCTCGAGTGTGACCTGTCAGATTCAGAGCATGATCTGCGTCCTTTACCTTTTGATGATTTAGACTTGTGCCTTCTAACAGGACTGTGGGATCTATCAGAAGAAGATGACCGACTATCTCGTCTGCTTTTCTTTTTTGACGACCCCCTCGACTTTCTATGTCGAGAAGATGACCTGTGAATGTATGAACATATTACTTGAAAGCAACAGGAAGGGGAATACTGTTGGGGTATTTTACTTCAGTATATTTGTAACACCCATTATCATATCATTTTGCATGTAAACCACTAAATTACATGTAACATAAATTGAAATCTTGCAATAAAAAGGGGTATCCTGGACAAGAATGCTGCATATTCATAAGGAAGGCCATTGCCATTGGCCATTATTCCTTCTTTAATGGTTGCAACTCTGGGAGGATATTTTGTGTTATTTTTCATACAAAATTTCGTGAAGATTATAGATAGAACCTAAATTCCTGATCCGAAAACCATAAATATCATTGTAGGAGTCAGTAAGAGGACAACTCAAGACTTACCCACTGGAGACATCACTGTTTGAGTCGTAGCTACTATCTGTTCCACTTCCAGATCCCGATGATTCATTCTTTCTATGATGCCTGTGTTTTCTGGCAGGAGAATAGCTGGGAGACCTAGAAAAAAAAATTGAAATTTTTACAAACTTCAGTTAAAAGTCAAAATTGTGTGAAGCAAGAGAATTCAAAGTAAATACTGAATAAAACTAGAACTGTAGTACAATACGAATGCAGCGTAACAATTACCTTTCAGCTGACTTTGCCTTTTCAGAAATACTTAATTTTTAAAGCTAATATCATTGTCATCAATTTATTTGTAGTACATTGTATTTACATAATTTAAGCTATTGATATGACATATTTCGACAGATTACTTTGGTGGTTTTGAAAACAAGCTAAGTTAGCTTTTAAAAAAACCTGAAATTTAAAGCGAACGGGTTGTCATCAGTGTACACGTGGGAAGTCAGCCCCATTCGACGATAACAACACACGCTAAAAATGCAAAGGCTCATGGGTAGATGCTTATTTGTAAACAATGACATGCTATGGCCATCTGACGCATGCGCAGGTGACGACTCCCGGCTTTAAGCTAAACGTTAAGTTTATCAACAGTACTGTTAATAAATCCGAAACTAGACTTACCTTTTGAGAACTATATGGAAATACTGAATTAAATGCTCAGACAAATAAATCTGTCTTTAAAACGTGACAGTCTATTATCACAATTAAAATTGTTTTGAAACTTCAAAATTGTCATTACATAATTTTTTAATGTACAGTTTATTTCAAGAAATCTCACCTTTTGCGATGCTTGCGTTTTTCCTTATGCCGGCGTCTGGATGGACTGGATGATCTAAGAACACACAGTATTGATAAGTGTCAGTATGCACTCGTTTTTTCACAATAAGATGATGTACTATTTGAAAGATGATGATAGCGTATTAAATACAACTGTATCATTAGCTACCATGTGGCATTTTAATGGGTAGTGCATGCACAAAGCAATAAAGTAACATGTACATATAATTATAGCTTTGATACAGGCATGCCCTTTATTACATCATACGGTTATATCAGCTTATCTTAAACAATGTTTGTGTACTTCCATATACAGATATATATTATTATTTTCTCTTTTTTTAAACTGCATATACAGTTGAATGTTTGAAACTATTCAAAGACAAGCAACAAGGAAGGAATACGGTAGATGCAAGCTACTCACCGATGTTTTTTTCTTTTTCGAGAAGACTCCGACGATCTATCATGAGAATCAACGAAATGATATGTACATTATATACCATGCTTGTAAAATGATATATAACTGAAAATGTCTCAAATCATAGTTTTAGCTTGTAGACATAACAGAAGTAACCATATACCACCAGGTTTGATAAGTAAAAGATGAGAACACCCAAAACGAGAGGCACACATATTTTAATACAAGGTGAACAATGGAGTACATACAATGCGCCCCACTGCATATGTAGCCAAATGCATGTACTGATCTGAACAAAAAAATAAAATGAAGAGAGCACCAAAGCACCTAATTTAATTTTAATGACATGAGCTGTATGTGGGGAAAACACAACAGGAAATGGTAAGGTTAACATAAGATCTAGTTGCATTGTCAGTAATGCGAGAATTCTTCTATTTTATTATTTTGTTTTTTATAAAAAGTCGCTACACATACGTGTACAATTACGAAAGGACTTTAACAGCATCAACAGCACAAAGCATAGCAATGCAACAGACAGAAATGGAACAACTAAAAAATTTATAATAATCATAATAATAAAGTGAAACCAAGAAAAGCATATGGGTGTGGTAGTGGGGATAAGGAGAGCCGAGATGCTACCTAGCATGCAAGGATAGAATGAAAATGCGAGGACGGAGGGGTTTCATGGTGTTAGTCACAGGAGAGGTCAACTGCACGACCTTAAACAGTCAAATTTGAACAGGACAGCAGGATATGAGTGGTCAAATAAACAACAGGATAGACGATGACAAAGTTGAGTAGTAGTGAAAGAGGGAAAACATGCTACTGGCAGGGTTATTTTTTTCTCTCTTTTTTTTTTTTTTTCAAATGCATTCCCGTCCTTTTCTTGATATGATGCTATGAATTAACACAGATTACATGATATGGTACCTGGATTTGGTAAATCACAAACACTTAGAGCATTACCTTGGAAAGAGAAATTAATGCCTGCTAAAATTTAAAGACTAAGCAATGAAGAGAAACGAAAAGAGATATCTTGGAGTTATTTTGGCTTTGTGGTTCAATTCCCTGATGTATATTTAAGAAAAAAAAATAAACACTTCTGTTGCTCCATGTGCAAGCAGATTTCATGAAATCAACATTAGTACATTGTTGCGGAACATGGAAAAAAAAAATTATGAAAACATACGGCTGAAGTACGGCTGCATAAAAAAATAACTTAGAAAAATAAACAAAAAGATAATCATGAGATGTATGTTATAGTTTGTTACATGTATGTAATGATTGGGAAAGAAATTAAATAAAGAATTGAGCAACAGTCTACATGCAGTGCTATTTTATACGTAAAATTCATTGTTTTGTTTTCTTGTCGACAAGGAAACCAGTATTTATGTAAAGCAGAACATTGATAGTAAAGTCTCACCATCAGCAGGCGGAAGGGTTGGTACACAAGTATATAGCAGAGGACACAAACTACAGAGGTTAGTGCTTACTTTTACCAATCCGCAGTCGTATTTCAACTTACCGGTCACGTTTGCGTTTGTGCGATTTTTTCTTCTTCTCTTTTCTGACTGGCGACTCACTAGCGGATCTGCGAGAGAACATTAATAGATCCTCAGCAGAGTCGGTTTTATAGACGATACAGGACCACATAACAAAGATGATGACGTTAGAGAAAACAACTTAAATGTACAAGGCTAGAATAAATGATACCGTATAACATGCTTCTTTTCTGACTCAATAAATTGACTATTCACCATAATAACAACAATTTGTACTGTTAAAAAAATAAATTTAACTTGAAGTTTGTCCTCTTGAATCAATAAAATTTCATTAAATGGCACACACTGAGTTTGGTGTTTTGAAATGAGTAGAACTCGTGGCAAAAAACATACCAGGCTTACAGATATCATGAAAAAAAAGGCCTTAAAATCGATTTAATAGAAGGTTTCACAAAAATAATGACAGAACAGTACATTTTTTTTCTTAAATAACAAGTTGAACAAATAAAGCCATTTTTACAGAGCCAGTATAAACTACACAAGAACCATATACATACACAGTTAAAAATAACAGAACAACTGATCATTAGAATTATTATAATTATATCCACTTTATTTTTTTCTCCAGAATTCATATCCAAATGGTTTTCACCACAGTGGAAGGTAGTCCTTACCTAAGGCCTAGGTAGGCATTGGACGTATGTTAAAAAATAATCGCAGAATTAATAAAAAAAATGTTATAACATATATTGGGTAAGTAGACAATGGTTGTGGAGTTAGAACATTTTTTTTTTAATAATAAGGGGATACATTGTGTGACCCTGGGTAATGTATTGGATATGTTGCCGGCAGAGGCTGAGGGGTTGAAAGTTGGCCATGTACAAGCAGTTAATCATAAAGAAATGTATTGCAACTTTTCATGGAAATAATCTCTAACATGAAGAAACAACAACTCGAGAGATACAGTCGATATCATGGTATTTGTTGAGTCTAGTCACTAAAGGGATAAGTGTTGAAATGTTCTGTTTTGTAGTAACAGTTTAAAGTCACATTTTGTAGTTGTTCACATAATAAATCCACATAATTGTCAATTTTCGACAAAAATTGTAAACAAGATTTGTAGCCAATAGGAAATTATGTATTTTGGGTCAAAATTATCAAAAACAATATATAAATATACATGAAATGGGGCAACATTTTGCTTCAAATATTTTACTTAATTTTCATATGTCTATGAATTCCAGTCAGTTTTTGCAGCCATGATGAAGCATGGTTCATAACGATTTAATAAATATGGGATCATGAAATTTGTCTTGAAAGAGGCAGGAAATGGAATTATACAATTTTGAAAAGCAGAACAAAAATCCGGTTCCAACAATCAAGAAAAGCAGGACTGTGACAAATAAGTCTTTTTCAGTGTTGCTCGTGAAAAGTTCAAGGAATTTGGTTTGTAACAACTTTTTTAATGCAATTTTCTCTTCTAAGGACCATGATACAGCTGTATCTCAGCACTATAAACTGAAATTATTATTTAGAGAAATCAAATTTAAACTGGAAATGCAATTGTGTTAAAGCATGTGTAAATATGCAAAATGCTCTGATGGATATAACAGCTAAACCGGAATAAACTGGTTTAAACCAGCATTTGAAAAGTAAATGTATGTATATTTCAATATATGGAGTTTAGCCAAACCGGAATGAACTGGGACAAACCAGTGCTTGAATGATAAATGCAAATTTAATCCAACCTAGAATCTAGAGCCAGATTAATAATTAAATGCAGAACTGATGTAAATTTTATTGTTGTTTCTTCAGTTGGGAGACATTTTAACATGATAATGAAATACAGAGTTAAAAACTTGGGAAGTACCTGAATGATAGCTGAAATGTACAAATGTATGTGATGTGTGACTGAACCTTTTATTTTAAGCTCCAAACCCAAGATGCACCAGCCAATATAGCATTAATTCACAGTCCCTCTATCAGGGACTGTGATTAATTCAATACTATGACATTTCGCAAAATATTTTGAATATGTTATTGGCTGTTGCATGGTAAGTTCTAAATGAAAGCAAAAGTTACAAATGTATGAATGAGACAGCAAGCTTTAATTTCACTAAATGTGAGGGAAATTTTTTTCACAAATTTCAAAAATACACAAAGCACTTGTCAGATGTGTATATCAGACTAGCCACACTGGAAATCAACCTGAAATCATAGCTTGCTATCTACACCATGTTATCGGCGGTTACACTGCGTAGACGTGTCCTCTACCATGCAGGCTATCCTATGTGAGTGCAAGAAGGCATGCTTGTCGAGTTCACCAGTGAAACAAATATACAATACAACTATTTTCAAAACAGCGCTGCAAATTCACAATCTTGAGTGCAAATGAGTGTTAATTTTATTTTTAGAATTGTGAACGTCATCACAATACTTAGTTGAATAATTACACTAGGAATTAATATTTCTTAAGGTTAAAAAGACTGATAAAACTGCAACACTGTCAGATAACCTGTTGTAGTATCCTAGTGAATAAAAGCTGTTTCATGCGACCCTGGTGCACTAAAAACACTTGTTGGAAGTTTACACAGGTACAGTATATCAGTCAGATGCTTTATCACAAAATACTTTTAATGGAGGAAAAAAAAGAAAGGGGGATGGACGATCAGTAAGTAGCAGCCTAGGGGGTACTTTCCGTCATATTCCAACGAATTATAAGAGGTCTTGAAAGATTGAGCTACAGATCCTTACCTCTTTCGTATCCTGTTTTTCCGTTTTTTGCTGATTGTAAAATGACAGTCAAAGCAAATAGTATTAGGGCATGCATACTCAATGGAGGTGATGCAAGACAAGAAAAAGGTGAAAGTAAAACAAAAAAAAACAAGGGTGTGTTAGTGAAATCGGCATTTTGTTTTATATTGGCATATATACCTGACCTGCATGTATAATGCCCCCTTGCTGATGCACAGGTCAATATCACTAATTGAAGGTAAATATGATGGGGAACAGGTAAACACAAGAACGATAATAGGTCAACTTACCGACTACGACCTCTACCAGACTTCTTCTTCTTACGTTTTGGTGGTGGAGATGGAGAATCACTTGGTTCACGGATTATACTACAGAGAAAATAGTTCCATGTCAGTACTCGGTTGATAGTTCTAACAAAATACATCATTGTATCATGTTGTGAATTATAAATATCAAATGACAACTAGGAAAGGAAATATAAAATGTTTGACCTTTATTGGGTCAATGAGACTGTAATTTTATTAATTTTTTCAATCATGAAACTTAAATTCAGCATTTCCAAGTTCAGCAGACCATTGCCCAGTACCAATCAATTGCCTAGACGAGAGGTCAGACATGGGTCAAATTGCGTGAATATATTAAAATATGAAGACGCGCTAGTCAACATCGCAATGAATGTACATGTAGCGAATACACCACCGGTTGATAAAAGTGGTACTCTTTTTCAGGGACTTGTAAAAAGTCAGTCGTTTTTCGTCTTTTGAAAGGTGAGAACATGTGAACAATAGAATTATAATCATGAACAATGAGCATCGGTTTACCCCGGTTAACCCTGGATATGTTGGTGGTGACCTTCAGGCGGCCAAGGAGCTTATCCTGACTTCCCAGGTGTTTGCGGAGCCCCACGGAAAACCAAACAGTTTGATTATGGTCACTTCCCTTATATGTAACCACACGTGCGACTTGTACAGAGGCACACATATGACTTGTATGGAATCACACACGTGACAATGAAAGTGTGTTGTACCTGTACTGTTTCTTCTGCTCCTGTTCATCCTTAGCACGTTTGGATGAATCAAATGCACTACCATCTTTGTATTCGTCACTGATTCCAAACGCTTCACGTAGTTTGGCATTCTTTTTCTCATTTGCTTCAGCCAGCTGGTGGGTCTCCGTCACACTGCAAGTAACCATATTTAAAACAATATCAGTCATTAAACAGTCATCAAAACTGAAACAGACATTTAAATTATGCAAATCATATGCAAATTGGCTATAGACAAACACAGTAAAGATGAAACAGAAACAAACGTGCATGGTTTTACAGCATGCGTAAAACTTTTGTCGTTGTACATATCAAAATGATGTGTCCTTGGATATTTTGAAAATAAACAGCTGACAATCGGCTAAAGGGAAACACCGACAGTTGTATACTAGAAGTGGATACACCGTGCTAAAATCACAATAGTTAACAATATAGTCTTGTGTGGAACAAAATTGTTGGCAGCTATACTATGCTACTGAATAGAACAAACAAATTTTAAAAAGCAAGTCACTAATATAGATACACCACAACCTTATAAACTATGATAAATAAATACACCCTTGATGTGTACAAAGAGCACAATGCAGGTACAATATATTCTATTGATTGGATTTCAGGGTGTAACTACGATAATTGCATTTTTTATTGCCAACGGACGATCAGCGTTATGCATGTATTGCAATGATGATAATTCTTCGAGTTTTGATAAGGATTGCACATCCGATTCAAAGATAAGCCATGCAGAACTGCCTGATATAAATTACAAATTACACAGAGGTATTCATAAATTCACTCCAACAAACTGCCATATATTGTACCCGACTGTCTACACTCAGTGAACTCAGTGGAAATAAACATATCAGAATTGTTAATATAAAATACAATAGCAAGTAGTCATGGGACACCGAATGGCTCACCATATGCCTCAATTTGCCTTTGTGGGAAAGAAAAAAAAAATAGGTATAAAAGGCAAAACGGGAAGACATTAGTATACAATGTCTTTACACCGATTGTCAATATGATGTGGTTCTGTATGATGCAAAGAAGACGGGAAAGAAGATGTCTGTCTGTTTGTTTACATGTTCGGAGCATATGATTGGTTAGTATTTTTTGATTTGATAATATAGCATGTTATATAATGGATTATTATATATATTCATCATATGCACTTGAATACATGTGTACAATTGATACTGTAAACAGCCAAATTTTCGCTGCTTGGAATTCTCATGATTTGATAGTATTCAGGAAGAAAATTTCACAACATTTACTATGTTATAGGATCCCAGACAAATTCTGTGATTTTTTTAATGACTTGCAAAAATTGCGAAATTAAAGCATTTACAGTACCATACTCAAAGATGTTTGTTATAAAAAAAAGAAAAGCAGAAAATAATTATCAAATATTAATACAATTTTTTAACACACAACTGTATCTTTCAAAATTTGAGTAGTGAAAATAAAATCCAACGAATATATTCGTTTTTCCCATGTTTTGCACTCTACTCATCAGGAATCAGTGAAAATAAACTCCATAAAAAACACCCAAAAAGTCTTCTCAGCGACTATTAATTCCAGCTAAAATAAAGTTCTCACATTATTGCCTAATAGCTGCCTTCCTGACATGAATACCTTCCATACCCATCAATCATAATCGAACAACCCTTATCAATATCATTAATAACTTCACTGCTAATGGAGAACCATCAAAGAATGTTTTATAAACATGATATTCTTCAAACCTTTCATTTTAATGAAGAATATTTAGCAACATTAAAAACAATAAAAAAATATTTATTAAATATAAAGGGCACACTCCACATTAAGTGTGTATTGGTTTATCATTAGATACATACATGTACAAGCGAAAGCCACGTGAATTATTCATTGTTAATATACTGGACACTGAGGGCGCACTCCACACTAAGTGTGTATTGGTTTATCATTTGGTACATACAAGTGAAAGTTATGTGAATTATTTGATATTGAAATAGTTGACAATGAGGGCGCACTCCATACTGTATAGTTTATCATTTACACACTAGTGAAAAATAGCTACAACTGTATTATTCATGACTGCAATAAAAAGATACATGTACATAATTTATCAAAAAAACAGAATGCTTTGATAAACGCAAGACCTCTGCGAGGAATGGCCGCTTTCTCATTAATTGTAGCAATTTCATTTGTTGATACATGTACATGCATCTCGGGGTCAGTTTGGTGAAATTGAGCAATCCATCCGAGACGAAAATATCAAAGATATTAATTATGCCAATCATGTACATATACATGTGTACCTTTAAATATTGCATGAGAACCCTGAGAATGTACTGAAAAACACTGAATAGCAGAAATTTTCCAATCACTTCAGAAATTTGTATCATTACTTGTCATTGAGGATGAAAACGGGATAGCAATGAGGATGGCATTCCTCAATACAAGAAACAGACCACAATTAAAAAACAGTATTGAGCTCCATGGCTTCAAAAATTGAACATATACAGTTATAAAAATACCACTACTATGTCAACACTGCTAATAATAAACAATATACTAAAGCTTATAATTGCTTTGACCAGCAGAAGTAACATCAGTTATCGTCTAATAGCTGCCACCCCTACTTTGAAATGGATTGATCCAATACCACGCAACCATAATGGAATAACCCTGGTCAATATCATCAATAACTCACAACTAATGGAGAGCTGACAAAAGCATTTTATTAACAAGACGTCATTCTTCAAACCATTCATTTTAATGAAGCATATTTTTTCACACATGAGATGGAGAAGGTACCGCAGCAACAAATTACACGAACAATAAAAAATATTTTCATTTGCCAAAGGAAGGCATAAAAAAGGATTTTGAGCTTTTACCGGTGGTAAAAACCGAGCTCTTTTCTAAATTAAGTCTCTAGGTTTCAGCATAAAAATTAATTCTGCTGTAAAAGTAGCAGTCCTTTCATCAACTACATAAAATCGATGACCATATTACCTGTAAAATGTCAATATTAGAAAAGTAATCACAATTTATGTTGTCATAAAACAGACTGTGGATGTTCAATTTTAAAAAATAATTGCACACAGTTTTTAGTTAAATATTGCCACCATCTGGAAATTGGACAAACAAGTTAATAGTACCGGAGAAACTAACATGAACAGCACAGCATACTTATTTATCAAAACAGTTGTAATTAACGTTTAAAACAAATTACACTTGTTATCAACATTCCCATCATCTAATTAATGTGTAGTCATGGCAACATCATCACTTTCAATGATGATAAATGTATTTATTCCCTGACAAGAATGACACTGGTCTTTTTACGAATAGTTTTACATGCATTTTTTCAGGTGCACATCTCCCGAAGTGTGCAGGCAATTACTGTCACATAATGGATTCAACCGAGATGCATTTTATTTGTCGAATAATTAGTTAGAACTCCATAGCCGATGGGTGTCGCTAGGGCATGTATCTATTAAATTGATGGGAAGCTAACAAAAGAAGGTTGGGAACTTGCAGACAATGGGATATTGTGTGAGCCATACACCATAAGCTCCAGGCAAATAACTAGGCATTGTTGCACAACTCACAGGACATCACTCCATTTAAAACATATCCAAATTAAATTACATCCTTTTGAATATGATGCTAGGGTATTAGGATAGCAAACGAATGTCATATGTAGCATCACTAGTTTGAATTAGTAAGTAAGTTTATTAAGTGGAAATTTCCTGATACATGTGATAGAATGTAGATACTAAATTCTCAACAATAACTCGTATACACACTCAAAAAACAAGGGTTGGTGTGTAATAAGTTTAGTTATCAACTCTTTGAGCAACACATTATTTTTCCTTGTTCAAATTTTCTGTGAGTTTTCACTGAATTCAATCTTAATTTTGGAACAAATATACAAAATGTGATATTATTTCTAGTTTTCGATCAAAATGCGTTCACGACATTTTGTGCGAAAAGAAGAAGACTATATATATAAAAGGAATTTTTAGGGTTGAGCATCATTTTGAAACATTTTAAGAGGGGCAGTGGTTGACTGCATGGCGTGAAGTGACATGACGTGTAGCTGGATGATTTTGTCACATTGTCTGTGTGCATTAGTTTGGGTAACGTAATGTACAGAACATGTCGACTCTGATTATTTTTTACCCTATTGTGTATTCACTGCTATATACATGTACAGGTACAACACTAATAGCAGAGGAAAAAAAATAAAACATAGAAAACATAGCTTATGATGGACTACTAATATCAAAATTTCCACAACATTGCAGATCAATAAATAAATATCAGAGACATCTGTCATCAATAGATCAACACAGTTGCCATGGTTATTTGGGAATAACATTACACCAATCAATGCCTGTTTTCTTAGAATCAATCTACCAATTTGTAAAACTGGAGAAAATTCCTCAAAATCATTTTGTCCCCACATGGGAATATATTTCCTGCTAGAGTGGGCGATTGTTGATTAGACTAGGAAATAAATAAATGGTCAATTTTCAACTCCATTCCATCCAATCAAATAATCCTAACATTACGGTACAGTTATATTAGTGAAATACAGTCAGCTGAAAGATTTTGAACACTATTAATAAAAATCTCTGAATAATGTTACCACAGTATATTTTTTTTTCCTTTCTCATTTTGTTCGACGACATGGTTTGGGGTTTGACACATTGTTAAGATAACAACTATTTACCAGTGTAATAATATTAACCATTTCACCACCACACTTTTTCACCCAAATTTTTTTGCGTTTTTGATTTATATTCTTCAATGTTTCTCGTAATGAATCCTACTTTTGAAACTAACAGACAAAATTTGAGTAATTTTGTGGTTTTTACTTAAAAAAATTGGCTATTTTTGTTTAAATTTTTTGAAGGAAAGTGCAGACTATAAAAAACATGACTATTTTGTAAATTTGTGATGAAAAAAAGGAACTGGTGGTGAAAAAATGGTAGCATATATTAACTTTGCAGCCATTCTATACTCATTCTACATCATTATAATCAAGAAAGCTGTTAATTTTTTTGTAAGTACATGTACATACACACACGTACATGGGAGAGTGTGCAATAACATACACTTCAAAATCTAACATTGTATGAATT